ATATGAAACAGTTGAAGAACCTAGTTCTGGAAAGAAAGCACAAAGTGAGGTCTGCCTGGGCTCTGAGCGATTGAGGCACCAGAAAGTTTTGCTGGGGCGTACATTTGACCCCACCATCTCAGAAATGGCCGGGATGCGTCAACTCCTGGAAATGGTGGAGTTTCAATAGTGGACGCATCTTTTCTACGTGGATGCTCCCAAAGTGTATGAGGAGGAGGTCCAACGTTTCTTTGCCAGCTTGTTTCTAGTGGATACTGACCATGTTTGTGGCTTGGTCAATGGTGTGGACATTGTATTTGATGTGAAAGTACTTGGGGAAATTTTGCAAGTTCCTATTGTTGGAGTGAAGAGTGTTCAAGATGTTTGCCAGTACAACTTCCGAAATGCGGTGGTGAAAGATAATTCCAATCAGAAAGGGGACCAGATTCACAAGAAAGCACTTCTTCCTGTTTACCAGTTGTTTTTTAAGCTGGTTAACAAAGTCTTGTTGCCTCGAGCAGAACGGCGATCTGTCACTTCCAAATCTGATTTATTCTTAATGGAGCAATTGGATGGTTTCCACCCTGTGAGTTTGCCTGCCGTAATGATTGAGCATATGCAGAAAGTGGCTGATTTCAAGGACGGCAATCACGGGCTTCCCTACGGACTCTTGCTCACGGGATTGTTCAAACACTTTGGGGTTCCTTTAGGAATAGGTAAAGTAGGGACCCATAAACAGACATTCTCTTAGACAACCTTGGAAGTGTGTGAGTGTATTGAGAAGTATGGGGGTGTAGGAAGCACTTCAACTGTGTCTCAGCTCATCAATGCCCAGAACAGTGCAGCTGAGGAGATACGTCGATTGAAGCCCAGAAACGCTATCCTGGAAGGCCAGCAAGCTCGAGCGGTTCCCATGTCGAATGATGAGGTGATTCGCTTGACCCAAGAAAATGCTTACCTCAGGGCGCAAGTTGAGAATCTGAAGGCTGAACTGCTCACCGAGCAAAATTCGGGAAACGCCCGAATAGACCTTGTTCTCAAGACACTTGTTGCAGCTTCCAAGCCTTTTCCTTCTAGCGTCCCCTAAGATTCCCTTCAGTGACCATTTTTCTGGATATTTCTTTTCTATTGATGTTTGGTGGTTGTTTTTGTTTTTTTTTGTATGTGGTTGGGATGTACTACTACTACTACTCCCGTGAACAAGTCCAATGCTGTCTCTTCCTTTTTTCAAAGGAAGAGGCATATTAAAAATTTATTAATATGAAATCCTCTTTTATTTTGTCTAGTGCTTCCTCTTTGTCTTCTATTTTTTCTCATGATTGTGTGCACATATGTGGCATGGGTTAGCTTGACTGGACTTCTTTGCACTTTTATTCTTTTTAATGATGCCAAAAGGGGAAAAAAGAAAGACTAATATAAGACTCAGGGGGAACCACATTTGGGGAACTGGTTCTTGTGTAACTGAAGGCATCGTCTCAGGGGAACTCTTTGACACTGCTCTCTGATGCCTTAATTCTGAACTTATAACTGTTTAAGTTTGTCATCATCAAAAAGGGGGAAACTGATAGATCTTAAATATTTCTTACCTTATGTTTTGATGATCTAACAAACTTTCTGACAAGAACCAGTTGGGGAACCTGATCTACTTTGGATTGTTGCAAGCTCCAAAGGACTCCAGTAAAAGATGGATTGCTACACATATAGGAGCTAGGAACCAAACAAGGACCTGATACTCCTGTGGTTCCTATATAGCAGCACAAAGTTATTTGGATACAGTTGGAAGTGAAGTGACTGGCGGCACTGTTTCTGCCGCACTGCACCACACTGTCAGCCCACTCATTCTCTAACCAAATAAAGTACTCACATCATTTCAAGTGATGTGAACAGGATGTACCAAAGGGGTTTTTATACAAAACATCATTGAATGGTTTCACTTTCATCATTCAAGCCTTTAGCAAAAAATAGAAAAGATCATTCTTTCAAGCTTGAAGAACAAGGTTGAACGCCACTACGAACCAGTTCCAAAACGATTGATTATTGCTGTCCTAGTTGAGTTGTAACCTTGTTATTGCACTTACAATATCTCCTAAATTGCTTACTTAGAAGTTTACTGATTAGGAACTCTCTTGTAAATCCCCAGACTCGTTGAGTTTAGGTTGTGGCTAGATTTAGTCATAAAGAAAAGTCTTTGTAATCGTAGTATTGCAAAGTGGCTTGTGGTGATAGCACCACAAGTTAGAAAAAGCCTTTGTAACTAGGATAGTCACAAAGTGGCTTGTGGTAAAGGTGCCACAAGTTAGTTTGAAGTCTTTACAATCAGAAGCATTGTAAAGTGGCTTGTAATAGGTAAGATTACAAGTTAGTGAATTTAAAAGCCTACAGGGTAGGTCGTGGTTTTTTTGATCCCCTTGTGCGGGATTTTTTCCACGTAAAAATCCTCTACCTCATTTACTTACTGCCTTACTAAGTACTCTCAGCAGAAACTTGTAGAGGACCAGGTACTCTACAATTTGGTGGACCCATACAAGCTAACAAACTTCCACTATTAATTAGCAATATGATTTCTCTGTGCAATTGGCTTTTTACTAATAACCTTTACAGTTATATTAACCCCAAAATCCGATGGTCGAAGCTGTTTCACTTTTTTAGATCCCACTTGCTGCTTCTTCTGCTCTGCCATTTTTTTCAGCTCTTTTTTCCTGAAAACCTATTTAATTCCAAGAAAAGAAATTCAGGAATTTTAATTAAAAAAATACAGCAAATCCTGACATAAAGATTGTATTTTTTCATGTTTTTGCCCAAATTTAGTTGTTTTGACCAAAAAAAAAGAGAACAGACCTGAAGATCGACTTCGCCGGAGAATGATACGAGATATGTCAGATTTTTCATGCTTTTGCACAAATATTTTCATGTTTTTGCACAAATCCTAGCCTATTTTTTCGAAGGCATATTTTTCAGCCATTGTTTGAATCTCTATTTCATCACTTGAGGTTCTCTTTCAAGATTCCTCGTTAGCGGAAACTATTCCATTTGTTTGCAGGTTGCGGCTGGAATTAGCGGGTAAATAGTTTGGGCCGCATGGGTAGGAGTGATAAATAGTTTGGGCCTGGGCATTAAAGGGTAAATAATTTGGAATCAATGGGTATAAAGTGAGATTTTCTCTTTCCGTTTTAGTGAAAGTCACTCGTGACTTGTTGTTCTTCCAATGTGGATTTATTAATTCCAAAAGCTGGAACATGGAAAATCCATTATATGATTCTTAGAGTCCGTTTGGACATAAGAAATTATTCACCTTTTTTCAAAAAGAATGGGGCATTTGCATCTGTATCCGCTTTTTGGGTCACCTTTTAACTTATACCCGCTTTGCAAAAAAATTGCGAGCATACCCACTTTTTGCGTAACTTCAGACATACGGGCCTGAAGTAGCAAAAACTTATGTCTAAAGTTTGAACTTCAGAATGTTTTGCATGAAGTGTAGCAAAACTTCAGATATTTTTGCATGAATTGTTTGGCCTGTCTTGCAAAGCAATCATGCAAACTTCAGTTCGTAGCGTAAATGGCAAACTTCAGTTCAATAAAACTACAACATATTTTGGCTGAAGTTTTTGTTTGTAATTGCTGAACTTCAGCATTCTAGTACCTGAAGCTTTGTTCTATCTTTGCGAAACTTCAGCATGTTTTAGCTGAAGCTTTGTTCTGTATTTGCTGAACTTCATGTTTTAGCTGAAGCTTTGTTCTGTCTGTGAAAATATTAACTTCAGCATTCTAGGGCTGAAGTTTGTTTTGTATTTGCTGAACTTCAGCATTCTTAGAGCTGAGGTTCTAAACAACAATGAATTTAATAAATCATGATTCGCAGCAATTGATGTTGTTCATTTCAAAGATTAAAGAATGAAAAATATTTTCGACACGAAAACAAGTTACTATAGATAAATTAGAACCAAAAACCACAAAAACCAATGTGCCTGTAAAGCTAAAATATCTAAGAGGTTAAATTATTGTGAATAAGACCAAACTGAACATATTGGGACAAGCATATATATATGAATCATCAGGCTAGAATGCGTAACAATATCTCAAGCTTCAGCATTCAGAAAACGAAGGAGGAGAAGGAGGAGGAGAAAGAGGCCTGAAGTTGTTTAAACAGTGGGTACAAGTTAAAACTTTTTTAAAAAGTGGGTATAGGTTAAATGGGGGCGACCAAATAGGGCGCCCCGTGCAATTTTTACAAAAAAAAAATCACTTTTTTTTTTGAAATCAGCGTTTGGTCATAAATTTTTCAATTTTCACTTGAAGATGCATTTTGGAATTTTTGAGAATATCCAAAAATTGTTTTTGAAAATTTTCACTCAGATCACTCACAAAACTTCAAAAATAACCCAAAATTATATTTATGTCCAACCACAACTCTAATTTTCAAATACCATTTTTGCTTGAAAATATTTTTCACTTTTTTTGGAATTTTACAATTCTTATGTCCAAACGCCCACTTAATCGACGTAGCAACACAGTGCATTATATTTTTGAAAACAAAAAATCTCAAGATTTTCATTTTCATATTTCTTTTGTCGTTAAGTTTTCTTATTTTCTAAACTATTCTCAATGAAAAGACGAGTTCTCATGACAAGAAAGAATAGTTATTGTTAATTGATTATGGGAAAAGATAAAATCTAAGTTAAAAGGATGTAATGCCATTTCGGTTTGTCCTACAACCACAATAATTTTCCCTCCAAGTTTTGGTTCTTAACTTCTTTTTCTGAAAGTAATTAGGCAAAATTTTGAGTATTCGTCTGAGATTTTGCATAAAGATTATCATTAATAAGAAGTAATAACAATTACTTTTTCAAACCAAACAAAAATGGTATAGTATTTATTGTCAAATTAAAAGTAGCTACAGATTTAATAATGCAAGCATAATCCTGCTAGGACCACAGACTGCTAAGACAGGTCCAAACTAGAGCACAGTCAGTGGCAGTGGCGAAGCTAGGAATTTCTTTAAGGATATTCAAACTTGAAAGAAGTAAAAAAAAATCCCAAGACAAAGGATGTTCAATATATGTTACATACTTCTAAAATATAACATTTTACCTATATATACAGTATAATTTTCCGACAAAGGATGGTCAATTGACCACCTTTACAAGAGTGTAGCTTCGCCCTTGAGCACAGTGAAGACCTTCATGACTGTTATACATGATTTTTATGAAAATACAGGATAAAACCAGAAGCCTAGAAACACTCAAAAAAGACAGCAAAAACAAATTGTTGAATTGAATGACACTAGGTTTGCAATTCTTGGCAGCTGCAAGAGACTCCCACTCTTTGTTTTCTCTGATTAGCTATAGGGCATTCAATTTTTGGGGTCTAAACCAAGAGCTTTATCGGCCTAGGGCTGGAGCCGCCCTTGGTAATACATGATGGCCAAACTGAATATCTATGGGACTATGGCCATAACTCGGGTATTGCATGCCTGTCCAATGAGGATGATAGGCAGTAGCATTCATTGCCAACATATAATTCTCAGCAACAACATGATCTTGAGCAACTCTCCATCGCTTGTTTATAGCAGCATCGTCAAAAGGCACGCTTGGTTTCTTCCTTTTATTCATCTTTACTGCCTCCCCAACAGCTACTGAACATTCTTCTGCAGTCTTTAAAGCCATAGAAGTCTCTTCTTTTTGAGAAGTTACAGATGATACCTCTACCTTCACAGCTGCAGACTCTGATGGAACTGGTACTTTAGGGAGGGAATTGTGTTCTGACACCATATCTTGAACTCGAGGAGCACTAATTTCATGCTCTGAACTACTGCTATTAGACTTGTTGATTCTGTTTATTGTCTCTCTTAGAGTCATATTAGGCAAGAGGGTGTCAGCAAGTATATTTCTAGCCCCACATACGCAAATAGAGTTAGAGACAATATGTTCCCTTATACACTTGTTGCAGAAACTACTAAAACAACATTTGCTTGCTATAACTGCATCTTTTATTAATCCTTTACACAATGGGCAATGTAGCTCCGGTGGTATATTACTGAAGGAACGCTTAGAAGAAGACGAAGAGGAAGATAAACCTTGAACCTCCTTTGAAGAAGCAACGTCATTGGACTTTGTTGGGGGCTTCACTTTCTTGATGTCATAATTCGGGTCACCATTCGTAGGGCAGTGCTGAATGAAATGGCCAGGCTTGTTGCATCGATGACACACATAACCCTGTGGTGGCTTCTTCCATTCCATTCCACCTCGACCAAAGCCATAGCCGATAGAGTAATGGAGGTGCCGCCCTACGTCTGGAGTATCAATTAAATTCTTGATCTTAGTCTCCTCATCATTTATACTACTAGTGGGGGCATTTAACACTGGATTGCCTGATTGATTTGGGATCAATTTTGGAATTGCATAGACATCATCCCCAAAATCATCGTAATCAATATCCTGATAATTATTAGTAGCAATTGACTCTCCTTTTACTACTGTATTATTCTCCTCACACACTTGGGCTTGGTCTGTAAGACATGGGATTACTATGGGCAAGCGAGGTAAACCAGGAACACGACGAATCAAAACACTTGTATTTTTAGGAATCAAAGTGTCTTGATCTACATAATCTTCGTTAGTTTGAGCGTTGGTGATAAGAAGGTCAAAATCTTTACCCCTACCAAAACGCTTGGATTCAAATATTTTTAATTTCAAATTGCAAACAGAAATAAATTGATCAAGAATTGGAATTGAATCATAAACTTTGGCACTTTTATACTTGAAATACACAGCCATGATTGAATTCTTTTTCCTAGAAAAAGAAATTAAGAACAATAATAACAACGAGGCCCTGTTATCAAGAATATAATAGGGCTAGTTCAAAATATTGAAATACAAACAGAATCGATACAGAGTTGTACCAAAATAACACCAAACAGAATCGTATCAGCTAATTCTCTTGACGAACTCGCGATTCTTCAACAGGCTTCAGTCGGCTAGGGTTTCAATCCGGACCCAGCACGAACAATAACCAATGCAAATTTATCGACAGAAAACGCCGAGAGTTTTAGACGGATGGAATTGAATCAACCAACTAAGAGATTCTTCAAAAGTAGGCACAGCAGGGAAACACGAGAGCGGCTTGAAATTGCGATGGAAGAAAATGTTTTTTTAGTTGTTTGAGGGAATTGTGCTCCTGAAATCTGAATGAGGTTTTGTTATATAGGTTTTCACTACTGTCATTCTTTCCGAAACCCACTTGGATTATAATTACATAATCACCGACTCAAGTTACCTATTTTAGTAACAAAAAATAATAATCTTAAAACCTGCAAGCTAATTTAATATTTAATTACATAAATTACCTATGGATATGACGACAACTCAAAACAATATTTACTTTTAATAAATTCACTTTTATTTTTGTTTCATTTTTTCTGATTCCGTAGGTAGCATTTGTACTTCCTCCGGTCTACAATAAGTGACCAATTTGCTTTTGGCACACCCTTTAAGGAAATACTAAAACCTAGACAAAAATAGTTAGTGTGACTAAACTACCCTTAATTAAATGTTGCAGCATAATTTAATTTGAGGAGTAAAAGACTTTTTTGGGATACATACATAAGGGTAATTTTGAAAAAACAAATTGAATTTTGTCTTGATTATATAAATGGACACTTATTTTGGACCAAAATAAAAAAGCAAATTGATCACTTATTGTGAACCGGAAGGAGTGTTTTCATATGACAGTAAGAGACTATTTTATCTCTAATTAGAGGTGATTCAACTTATGTGTTTTACGGTGACTTTCCAAGGGCAAACCCAAAAAAGTACGACAGAAAGGCTTGATATTCTAATATCTAGAGTGAGAAGTGGAACCACTTCTTTGTATAAAAGAAGAAAAATATGCAGTAATACGATATATAAAAGAAATTGAAAAGACTCCTCTTCCTTTTCCTCTTTGGCTTATTCCCAAATTACAATCGTGCCCCTACCATTATGGTTGCATATCGGGCGAATCGGGCGGATAATTATGCTTAGCGGTTCGGCTTATCGTTATCAACTTTTAAACGTACTAGTCCGTTAGCAAACCGATAAAATATCAGGCGGTTCGATATCAGATTAGCAATTATCAGACGGTTATCGGACAGTATATTGGCCTAATCTAAGACTAAAAGACAGTGAAAATTAAAATCACCTGCAGTCCAACTTTCACCGACAAAATTAAATACTCCATCCGTTTCAATTTATGTGAACCTATTTCCTTTTTAATCATTGCCAAAAAGAATGACATCCCTATTGGAAATAATTTACCTTTATGCAATGGTTTACAGCCACACAAAATATATGTGCCCCATTTTACATCACAAGTTTAAAAGTCTTCTCTCTTTTCTTAAACTCCGTGACCAGTCAAATAAGTTCACATAAGTTGAAACAGAGGGAGTAATAGCTTCCAGGTAAAAGTCATCCTCGTATATGTACCATAGGACATCATTCTTATTTAAAACATAAGAAAACCCAATGTCAAACTTTTGTACAAGTAAATCAAATGACAAAAGCTTACAAAATTTCATATGAAATGACAAAAGCCAACGTCAGACCTCTTTACCAGTAAATTAAATGCAAAAGCCTACAAATTATACCACCATATATAACTATATACGTGGAGATACTATCAATGAAAAAGGTAGAAGAATTTTTCTCTTCACTTATTCCTCTTTAATTTAGCATGGTACCAGAGCCTACCCAAATTATCTCTGACCATCCATGGTCGCCGATAAAACTGACGGCAACACTATTGGAGGAAGTGACGTCAATGGAACAAACCAACAAAAAATAATTTTGCCATTAATATAACTTCGAACAACAACCCTGGGATTTTGATAATGCAAAGTCCAATTGAAAGGAGAAATTATGATGAATGGGCTCGATCCATGAGGACCACGTTGAGGGCAAGAAAGTAGGGGCGAATCTATGTACATGGTTCGGGATGGTATGCCACCTGCAAGCTTCGGCGAAAACACACTCTCTCTCTCTCTCTCTCTATATATATATATATATATATATATATATATATATATATATATATAGTGCCACCCACAGAACAAAAGTGGCCAAGGTGCCAGTGGCAAAGGTCCATCTTTTCCTTTTGCTGGTTGTGAGTTTGGATCCAGCTGTAAGCAATTAATTTTTGGCTTCATTCTGTTACAATTTGTACACTGACAAAACACACTTTCTATTTTAAATGTTTGACTTTTAACTAATAAGATAAAATAATAATAATAAAAAGCTTTATAATTAAAATAATATTTCTAGAAAGCTAAAAGCCTTCCCCCACTTTCCCCTTTCCCAAAATTAGTCTCCAGCAAAAGGAATCTCAATTCCCAACTCCCCAACCTCGTCTCCAGCAAAAGGAATCCCAATTCCTAAGTCCCCAACCCCCACTTTGCTTGTCCAGTTCGTTGGCTTCCGGTTCTCACGCTCACCTCTTCAGTTCTTCTCTTTTGCTGTTTCAAAGCACGCTTGTTCGTTGGTCACTACTCTACGGCCACCATTATAAAGCTTCCTCACTTCCTCTTGTTTATTTATTAACCCTGTGTGGGTTGTGACTATTTTTTTCTCCATTAAATATATGTTTTTTCTCTGCCTTTTTTTTTTGTATTTAGTTGGATTTTAGTGTTCTTGCAAAACTTTATTGTCACTTGTGATTTATTCGTTATGTATTTCTTTGGTTTTGTTGAAAATCCAATGCCACTTAAATAGTTTCATTGTAGAAATTAATTTCATGGCTAAAAGAGAAAGAACATCCCCAATATTTTTTACCAAGAAAAATTCAAAATTAACTCAATTTTTTAACAATAAAAAGTATTAGGGAAAGTTGAATAATTTTCATTGGCTAAGCTTATTGATGGTACGAAATAGTAGAAATTATTCTATATTCCATGGTGAGCTACATAGAAAGCTTTCTCACTAGAATGAGCTTTTATTTTATAGGAATTGAATTCAGATGGATAAATTTGTCACGAGGTTGGACCATTCTCAACCAAGTCCTAGTTGTCAATCCTCCAGCCAAGCAAATGCCATTGTTTCTCATCTTATAAATGAACTCGATTTGGGGTCACTTAAAGGCGATCCAGGAGAAAGAATACCTATCGCGGACTATCACCCTCGAATACAGATGAAGTAAGAAAACATTACATTCACCTCGCCTTTTTGCACATATCCTTCTTGCTTACCTATAGCTCTCTTGTCTTAGTGACTCTTCCTCTTTTCTAGTTTTTTTTCTGAGTGTTAAAACAATAGATTTTGCTTTTGCCAATGAATTGGATCCACCCCGATTCGATTAATAGTGGGATTCTTGGCTAGAGAAAGTTTCTGTGACATGGACGCCCAGTGTCCTTGCCAACCTTTCAAGCATCAATTTCCCAAAACTCAAATAGGAGGAAGAATGCATCAATTTGCTTCAAGTTGGTTCATGTAACGACCCGACCTGTCATTTTGAACAATTGCACTTCGCTCGGTTGTTTGAGGGCATGAGTAGCTCCGTATGATGTATTATGATTTATGTGAATCGTCGATTTTGGTTTTCAGGTTGTTCGGAATTTATTTGGAAGAATGGTTCTCAGCTAGAAGCTTTAAATTTGAAAGGCTTGACCAAGTTTGACTTTTTAAAATTTGACTTCGGATTGGATTTCTGATGGTTCTGTTAGCTCCATTGGGTGATTTTGGACTTAGGAGCACGTCCGTATTTTGATTTGGAGGTCCGTAGTGGAATTTGGCTTGAAATGGCGAAAGATGGAGTTTTAGAAAGTTTGACCGGGAGTGGACTTTTGATATCGAGGTCAGATTCCGATTTCGGAAGTTAGGGTAGGTCCTTAATGTCAAATGTGACTTGTGTGCAAAATTTGAGGTCAATCGGACGTGATTTGATAGGTTTCGGCATCGGTTGTGGAAATTGAAGTTTCAAAGTTCAATGATTTCGAATTAAGGTGTGATTCGTCGTTTCGATGTTGTTATGTATGTTTTGAGGTCTCGAGTAGGTCCGTGGAATGTTATGGGACTTGTCGATATGTTTGGACGAGGCCTGAGGGGCTCGGGTAAGTTTCAGACGAGGTTCAGATCATTTTTCATTTCATGTTGCATTGCTGAAGGTTGCTGGTTCTGGTATGACCGCACCTGCGGCTGGTTTGCGCAGGTGCGATAGTCGCAGAAGCGTTCAGGGAGTCGTAGAAGTGAGAAGAGGCTGGGTGAGGAAGACCGCATAAGCGGATTTTTGTAGCGCACATGCGTGCGCGCGGATGCGGGCTTGGAATCGCAGGTGTGTAAGGCTTCGCAAAAGCGGGATTTGGCATCCGCGGGTGCGGGAATTTTTGGGCAAAGTTATTTTTGCAGATGCGAAGTTTTTACCACAGATGCGGTGCCGAAAGTGCTGGGCAGAGTTATAAAACTCGAGGGTTTTGTTCTTTCTTCATATTTTGAGATGTGGGACTCGGATTGAGGCAATTTTTGGATCAATTCTCATCACAAGGATTGGGGTAAGTGTTCTACACTCAGTTTTGATTATATTTCATGAATCTATCTTCTTTTTTGACAATTGGTTGATGAATTTAAAGAGGAAATTGGGGGGTTTGGCGTAAAGTTTCATAATATGAATTTTTTAATTTTGAACACCGATTTAGAGTCGGATTTGAGTGAAACTAGTATGGTTGGACTCGTAATTTAATGGGTTGTCGGATTTTGTGAGTTTGGTCGAGTTTCGAGGCGTGGGCCCAGTAGCCTATGTTATGCGATGTAGATGCTATTTATGCTCTAAGTTAACCATACTTTATTGATGTTTTAAGCGCTAAATGATAACAAAATGCTCTAATTGAGGTTTTTATGCTTTGCAGGAGCTACTCCGAGTTAGGAGGAGGATATAGAGTGTTTTGGAAAAAAATATGTATATACAAGGCCAATTGAGAAGAGCCCGGATGAAAACGAGCAAGAAAAGGCAAAGAAAAACTGGGCAACAGTCCACCGCGACCGCGGTCGGGCCGCGGCTGGAACGCGGTGGAACAAGGCGTAAAACAGAATGGTCTAAAATGATCGCGGTCGGACCGTGATTGGCCTGCGACCGCGGTCGATCTGGAGAAGGCCGAGAAAGTCCAGGGGCTAAAGTGTAAAGCATGGAAAACTTATCCTAACCCTATATAAACTCAACAAACTCGCCCAAGTTAAGGTT